TAAATGTTACCTTGAAATGAGTCGTAGTTGGTTATCTGCTAGCCAGTCAATTAGCCAACCTCTTTTGGTAATGTACTAACTTTGCTACACATATGAATTAACTTATAACAAAAACCCATGGTTATTAGAAAACAATTATTCTAAGAGCTAGTTGCTCTAGAGAAGCCTGCAGTGCTAAGAAAAATCTGAGTGTATCTCTGTTTCTTAGAATATATTAAAACTTCTGCTTATTCATTACCCACCTGTCAGACTGGCAAATACAAAAAAATATGACAACACATTCTGTTTGTGAGACTGTGAGGAAACAGGCACTCTCATACATTGCTGGTAGGAATGCAAATTGGTATACTCCTTCTGGAGGAAACTCTGGCAACACCTAACAAAAATTCTACTTCTAGAAATCTGTCCAGAAGACATACCTCCAGCTATAGCAAAAGGCTATGCACAAGACTATTCAATGCAGCATTTTTACAAAATGTTGCATAAGAGATAAAATATTGCATATAAATAAAGCATAAGCAATTTTAGATCAATGTAGGAAATCTGCATGTATTATGGATAAACCCTGAAAACACTGTTTGGTGAAAAAAGTAACTTTTTGAATTATATATATGATACTGCATTTATCCAGTATGATACCACACATGCAAAGTGTAAAAATATACAACACAATACTATACACTGGGTATGAATATGGGTAAATGTTATGAAAATTATAAAAAATACGTATGAGAAAACACACTGAATGAGTAATACTTCTAAGGTGGAAAAGAAGATGGGTGGAATTAAGCATTACAATATGGCAAAATATTGACACTTGCTAAATACCGAAAACAGATTATAAGGACATTTGTTATATCATTTTCCGTATGTTTGAACTATTTCATAGTTAACAATATTAATTACAGCTTGATACAGAGGACTTCTAATTTGGCCATTTGGATGATACTTTACTACTGAATTATACTTTTTATTTCTGATGAGCAACAATTTTAAAATTCTAGAGTGCTTGGTGATTATCTACAACTTGAGCATATGCTGCCACCTAGCAAAACTTCCCAGAATTGTTTAAAAACCAAACAAAATGGTTCTCTTCTTAAGGATGGACCCTAGTTTACTACTTCAGTAAAGAATTATTAAAATATATCACATATTTAATTATGAAACTGGAGCTTTGCAACTTCAGAAGCACATACAAACACAATTCTTGACATTCTTATCTTTTACAAATAAGTAAAGGCAAATCATTTTGTTCTCTGGCATTTTAGTTTCTACCTTTACTATCTTGCAGGACATGGAAAGCAATTTTCTAGTGAGTTTCTTAATAATTTGCTATCAAGAATAAAATAATGTTAGTTTCATAAAGAAGCCTTTGGCCCTACTGTGGAATTAGAGTACCAGATCAGAATGTTTCATTCTGATTCTGATTTTATATATCACTGCTGCCTAAAGAAACAAATGACTGAAGGAAACCCAGCTCTAGTTTTCCAAATTCTTTACTCATTAAATGCTTACTGTTGTTTTCAATTGTACATCCCTTCTCTGGTTCTAATGGAAAGGGAGAAAAAAGTCTTCATTTAGAAGATTTCTCCCCTGCATCTTAACATTAGGTGATTCAAGTTGAGTTAGCCATACTTTTATCTGCCCAGCAAGTATATGGTACTTATTATACACAAGGTAATATGTTAAAGATTAGGGAAGCTGCTATAATAAATCAATTAAATATTCTCTCTTCAAAGTCCACATGAGTGCTTGTGAAGATAAAATATGTAATAAATAATCATAAGATCAAGTAGAAAGTAATACTTTATTTTTAAAAAAAGTAAAGGTAGAATTTTACATTATTTCAAAAGAATACATGTATTTTAAGAAACTAGAGCCAGGAAGTGTGTTATAAATGTCAGCCTTTAGCCCTGGAAAATTATTGAAAAAAATAGAATTAGAGCTGAAGACACTGAAAGTTAGCATAATATAGTAATTGTGTCTGCAAGCTGGCTTTTATTTTCACAAAAGACATTTTGGGAAATTAAATATACTGTAAATTAGCTGGCCACATAACTTTTTAAAAGAAAAGACTATAATTAAAAATTATGGAAAAAGGATTCCAATCAAATTAATCACAGATATGAGTACCAATATTCCAAAGATAATACCAGAGATTTACAAATTTTTGCAAATGTGATAAAACCTATGATTATATTTTACCCTCCCCCAGAGACAGGCTAAACACAACAAATTACACATAATTTCAGGCAGTTATACGATCCCTGAAATTCATTCCTGAATCTCAGTTAAGGAGACCTAATTTAAGTTATTAAGGATCATAAAAATGATGCCTCAAGTTACTCATTTAACAGACAGGCACTGAGGAGATGATGGTGAGCAAAAATTTAGTCAGGTTGAGGGCATAAGAAATCTCTCTCACATTCACATGCCCCACACATTAAGCAATTCTTACACATGCTAAAAAGAAGTAAACAGTGCTACAAAAGCTTACAAAAGGAATAAATGAAAGTCAAGAAGCATTTCCATGAGAAAGTGACTAAGTAGAAGTATAAAATGTACTGAGAGGAAAAGGAGCTGTGGGTAAAAGGAACAGCAAGTGCAAAAGATCTGGAGAAGGCTATGCTAGATAGTGAAGGAAAGCCAGTGTGGCTGAAGTACACAGCCTGAGGGCGCTGAGGGTAGTGGTATACAGTGGAGACTGGCTTTGTGTAGATTGGTCTTGACCAAAAGCAACAGGAAGGCACCAAATCAGTTCTAAGCAAAGAAACACATGATTAGATTTGTTTTGAAGAGAGCACTCCAGCTATACTAGAGAGATGAGATGAGAAAACAAGTCAAAGTAGCTGGGAGGCTAGGATAGTAGTTCTGCTGGGAGATATAACTTGGACTAAGATAGGGGTGATGATGGAAAAGTAATGGAAAGATAAGAAAGATAACAGTGAATTTAAACTTTTTCATATATATTTCTTCCATGAAGAAGTTTTAATTCATTTCTTTTACCAATTTTCTATGAGATGACTTCTCTTAAGTTCCATGAGCTATTTTATAGTAATACATTAGCCATTTATCTGTCATATTTGCTGTATTTTTTTTCTAATTGGTTGTCCCATTTTTCCCCTTGTTTTTCAATTTTTATGTAAACAACTGTTTTTCCCTAGTAGTGTTTCTCCCATTAATTTTAAATTAAAACACTTTTCTTCCACCATCTCCACTTTCTTCTGTCCTTTTTTTCCTACCTTCATATTAGAACATGTAAGGTTTACTTCAGTGTGGGATGTATAAACTTCCTAATTGGATAAGTTCATTCAATCATCCAGCAAACAGTTACAGACCACATATGTTGCAGGTGACAGACATACACACCAAAAGAGAGAAACAGGTAAACAAGTGTTTTCAGAGTAGAAAGCATCCTGGTTGCATAAAGAATAGACACCTAGCCCAGACTGCGGTGAATTAGTGAAGACTTCCTAAAGGCCAAATTTTAACTGTTTTGAAGAGGCCTGGAAACTAAGTGGAAAAAGAAAGAGCCTTAAGTGAAGAGTGGGGCAAATGACTGTCACCACTCCTTTCACAGTAATTTCGAAATTGAACAGGAAGTTCACTAGTATTTCCTGTGAATTTCCAAGGACATCACTCCGATTAAGAGCTTTTGTACCCCCTAGGGAATCGAATGGAAAAAAAAGACCACCAAATGCTTTCTGTAACTAGCACGAGCTTAACATATATTTATCAATATAAACACCTTCAAGAGTTCTCCTCTTCGGTATACCCTGTTCTCCACTGTCAAGCGAAACCAAGACTTACTAACCTGGTAGTAAGGCAATAATACATTTCAGCTTTATTTCCTACTTTATCCCACAAGTTCTCATCAGTAGAGAGTTACCTACTACTATACAATCCAAGGGGTTTCTCACTCCCATTCTTTCCTCGCTTATACTGGTCCCTCTGGCTAGAACACTTTCTTTCTTCATCATCGAATTCCAGAATGCAATCCTGTGTAGGACCCTTAAAGACCAAGAACAAGTATCACTCATTTCATCTTTCCCTCTTTGGAAACTTTTCTACACTACGTAACTTTTTTCTGTGAGTGTTATCCTGTATCATTGATGGATGTTGCTTACCCTTTCCTACCTGAGAACAGGTTGCTTACAGAACTGTGTGATATGAACAGTGGCTTGCTCACAGCAGACTCATATACCCACTGAATAAAAACGGCGAATAATTTCCTTTGCTGTAGCTGTGATGTCCTCATCTGATCCCCGCTTTTCCAGCTTACTTTAAGTCTTTGATGACTATGACTTCCTTGAATAGAAGCAGATACTAGAAAGGGGAAAATGACAGAAATGGTAACCTGGTGACATGTAATGGTGGAGGTGATGAGGGCAAACGCCTGATGAGACTAGATTTAAGAGAGAAGGAGAGATGAAAACTTGTGGACAACAAGTATTAAAGTTTTGCTGTAAATGGAAGCACAGAAATAGGACAGTAGCTGAAAGACGAAATGAGGTACTGAGCAAGCGTACATCCTTATAAATGATACGGTCTCATTCAAGATGAACAATTTCTTAGGAAAAGCTACAGCTCTCAATCTCTCCCTTTCATTTTCTGCAGTCAACAAAAGGCAGGAAATATATACTGAGAGTTTACTGTCAGGCACTGTGCAAACACTACATACTCCAGTTAATTTCTCACTCCAGCCTTGCTGGGGAAGGTACTATCATGAGCTTCGTTTTACAGATGGACACTGAATAAAGAGATTAAATGATCTTCCCAAAGTACCACAAATAAAAACTCACGAGGACTGAAGGCCAGAGACACTTCACCTAGAAACCAGGGGGTAGGAAGGTGGGGGTGGGGAGTTACGGTTGTCAGTCTCTGAGTTCCGGAAAACTCGCCTGACTCCCGCCTCGCCCAGGTCCTTCAAAAAGCCGCAGCAGAGCTGTTCTGAGGGACCTAAAGGTCAGTCCCACAGGTTTCTAGACCTCGGTGCTCACCTCGTTATTGAGGTTCAAAGTCCCCGGCTGGCCCATGGTAGCTCTAAGTTCCCCGGCTGCCCGCACGTGACCAGTATCGGCCAGAACGCGGGTGCGTTGCCACGCCCCTCTAACGGCGGCCTCATTGGCCCAAAATTCATCCGCCGACTGCTTCAGCCGAAGTGAGAGTAAAAGGTACACCGACTCTGAGGTGAAGGACGGAAGTGACGGAGAACAACTTCCTGCGTGGAGTGCTGCTCGTCTGATTTCCGCGTTCGTATGGAAACTAGGTAGGGGCCGGTGGCAAAGAGGGCGCTACAGAAGCCGTTGCCTTGCTTAGAAGTTTTTCAAGATGCTAATTTTCTTATATTCGTTCGTACAGTGGGTCCAGCTGTGTAAGGACCTTGTTTTTCGTGTCTCAATGGGAGTGAAAGCCTTTATGAAATGACCACTTGAGCGACCAATTTTGCTCCGAATTTTTATCTAGCGTTTGTGAAGATTTTTGCGCTTCTAACAAACACATCTGTTAGATTCAGCTTTTTTACCAGCCTCACTTTATAGCTCAAGCATGGACATATTTTTCTGCACACTGTAAGAAGGTCCAATGAACTTATAAATCAGGACCAGGATGCACATTTCATGCTGCCTGTGAGATTGGCTGTTTTGAAGTATTAGGCTGCCTGTAGAGGACACATGAGGGACTGAGTCGGAGTTAAATAACATATGAATAGTTAACACCTGGTAGTATAGAGCTTTAAAATGGGTCAAGTGCTGGGACAAACACTGCGTGAATTATCTCCAAAATAGTCAAATCCAATGAGATAGGAAATATTATTCTTATTTTACAGGCTTGGAAACTAACTTTCGAGGGGCCAAGTGTCTTGTCAAGAGTTGCCCAGCTGGAGCCGACCAGGGCTACAGGATTCCAGGGCTGGTTACATAATCTAAGGGGCCCAGTGCAAAATGAAAATGCAGGACCCCCCCCCCATTCAAAAAGTAGGACAAAGTTTCTTCTTTTCTTCCGTGGTGTCTTTTGACCTGTCATGTGCTTTCTATTTTGTATTTAATGTGATGCTCCCTCAATACAGGGATGCCATGGGGCTAGTGCACATCTTCACAGGTGTCTGGGACCCATACTTGAGGACTCAGGGAGGAGTGCCTGTACTAGACCAAGATGGCAGTAGTTGCTGGGCAGAGACAGGGAAGTAGGAAGCCAGAGAACCCAAATGGAAGTATGTGGCAGGTAAGACCACACTTGACCTGAGACTAAGCCGTTGACATATGTTTCATTGTCCCACTGAATTTCACTTACAAAACTCAAAATCACAGATAAACTTATTAAGTATTTCAAGACTGTGTTGAAAGTAAATTTAAGCCAGGCCCACTTCTGAGCTTCTGTCCAGGAAGACAATCCTGTGCAGGGACAATGCTCTTGACTCCTGATTCTGTACTCAATTTACAATAACTCAGTCTTGTGTTTGGATTGGTATTCTTCAGTGTGTGATTTGGGCACAATCAGATTAATGCGTGACTTCCTGTTCAACTAGCGTGGCATAAAGGTAGTTTTTGCACTCATAAATCATACGCTGAATTTTAATTGTCTCCTTATTCAGCTACTTCTCATTAAAACTGATCTCCTGGAGTGCAGGGGTTTTTCACCCCAGGTGGCTAGTAGGCACTTCATACATAAATACTCAGGAAAGGTTGTTTTAAATATAAATGTAGAGCTTTATGGAAACTGTGTCTTCTAATTTAGGAGAAAGGTGTTAGTATGATTCCATAATGCTTCAAAAAATGTATTAATATGAAGTTTGTCTGTAGCTTTTAAAGTCTCTGTAATGTTTTCTCTTGACCACTCCTCTTGTTCTCCAACATCTCATTTCTCTAGCCAGCACAGTCTCTTCAAGCTCAGCATTTGTTTTCTACCTTTCCTTAGCAGAAGCTCTCTCCTTTGCTTATGACGCTCCCTCTGCCAGATCGGCTTTCTCAAGTGCTACTTTTCAAGACAGGTTCACATTCTATACATCCTTTTTTAAGAATTGTCTTCATAGCCCCCAACAGAAGTTAATTTTTCTCATCAGCAGTTCATTCTTATATTATTTACAATATTGTAATTTAATTTGAAATTTCTTGTGTACTGTCTACTCTTTTACCTGATAAGCTCTCAGCAACCTTAGATATTCATTTTTAAAGTGACTCGTAGTTTTTCATTGTACCTGATATATCACTTAAATATCAATCCATCTCTGTCTTTTGATGTTACAACCTCAAAAATCATTTTGATTCTTTACAGAGGTGATTCTACTAACTAATCTGCTTTCATTAAGCTATACACATGTCCTCTAGTAATAATGCATTTGTGTTCATCAGGCTACAAGTTTCTCTAGAAAACAACACCTGCCCCTTTTATTCCTGAAGGGCTGGTCCTGGATCATTTAAATGCTGTCAGAGATATGAAACAACAAAACTGCTATCATTAAAAGCAACTGGTATAAGATCTTTTTCCTCTTTATTGCAGTGTTACATTTAGTGGAAGTAAGGATTCGCAAGCATATACAATAGGGACTCAAGTTTTCCAAATTCAAACTTCTTAAGACTTTCTCAAATCCCACTGTATTTGTCTACTCAGGCTACAACAAAATACCACAGAATGGGTGGCTTAAACAACAGAAATTTATTTTCATGCAGTTCTGGAGGCTAGAAGTCCAAGATCAAGGTGCTATCATGGTTGTTTCTCCTGAGAGTTCTCTTCCTGGCTTGCAGAAACAGCCTTCTTGCTGTGTCCTCACGTGGCCTTTCCAATGTGCATACCCGAAGAGCCTTCTCTGATGTCTTTCCCTCTTCTTATAAGGATGCCAATCCTATTGTATTAGGGCTCCACCCTTATGACCTCGTTTCACCTTAATTGACTCCCTTAAGACTTTATCTCGAAACATCATTATATTGGGGATTAGAGTTTCAATATATGGAGACACAATTCAGTCTATAACACCCACGTTCTTTGAAAAAAGGAAATTACCTCAAAAGTAATATTCTCCTTATCTAACATGCCTGATGACTGACATTTCTATCATTTTGCACTTTCAAAAATTATAATCATACATTTCTAGATTACAACTAAACTCATGGATGTTTAGCATTCAGAATAGAATTGAGGAATAAACCCATGCATATATGGACAACTGATTTTCAACAAAGTTGTAAAGATAATTCAGTGGAGGAAAGGTATCCTTTTCAAAAATTGTGCTGAAACAATTGGATACTCATATAAAAAACTAACTTTGACCCACATCTCACACCAAATACAAAAAAAAAAACTTAAAATGTATTATACACCTAAATGTAAAGCACAAAACTGTAAAACTTCTAGAATAAAAGATAGGACAAAGACGTTGTGACCTAGGGTTAGGCAAAGATTTCTTGGATATCAGAAAAAATGCAGAATCCATATAAAAATGCACTGATAAACTGGACTGAATCAACATTAAAACTTCTCTTCAAAATGCACTGTTAAGATAGTAAAAAGATAAGCTCTACATGGAGAAGAAAATTTTGCAACTAACATATTTTATAAAGGACTTTTATTTAGAATATGTAAAGAACTCTCCAAACTCAATGAGGATAAAAAGAACCCAATAAAATAAGTGGCCAAAAGATCCAGACAGAAAATACACTTAAAAAGATATGTGGGACTTCCCTCGTGGTGCAGTGGTTAAGAATCTGCCTGCCAATGCAGGGAACAAGGGTTCGAGCCCTGGTCCAGGAAGATCCCACATACTGCGGAGCAACTAAATCTGTGCACCACAACTACTGAGCCTGCACTCTAAAGCCTGTGAGCCACAACTACTGAGCCTGCATGACACAACTACTGAAGCCCGCACACCTAGAGCCTGTGCTCCATAACAAGAGGAGCCACTGCAATGAGAAGCCCACGCACCACAACAAAGAGTAGCCCCTGCTCACCGCAACTAGAGATAGCCTGCATGCAACAATGAAGACCCAATGCAGCCAAATATAAATAAATAAATAAATAGTTTAAAATGGCTAAAATGGTATATTAAAAAAAAAAAGATATGTAGGTAGCAAATAAGCACATGAAAGTATGTTCAACATCATCAGGGAAAAGCAAGTTAAAACCACAATATGATACAATTACACACCTAATAGAATAGTTAAAAAGTGATCATAACAAGTGCTAGTGAGGATGTGGAACAACTGGAACTCTCAAGCATCATTTGTGGGAATATAGAATGGTAGGATCACCTGGTAACTGAGCCCACTGCAGCATTATTCACAGTATCCAAGACATGGAAGCAATCTAAATGTTCGTCTGTGGATGACTGGATAAAGAAAATGTGTTATGCACAAACAATAGATTGTTATTCAACTTTTAAAAAGAAGGAAATTCTACCATTTGTAACTACATGAATGAACCTGAAGGACATTATGCTAAGTTAAATAAGCCAGTCACAGACAGACAAATACTACATGATACCATTTATATCAGGAATCAAAAGCTGTCAAACTCATAGAAGCAAAGAATAGCATGGTGGTTGTCAGAAGCCCGAGGGAGGGGAAAATGGGAAAGTATTAGTCAAAAGCCACAAAGTTTTAGTTATACAAAATAAGTAAGTGCCATGGATTTACTGTACAGCATATTTCTCATAGTTAACAATACTTTATTGTATACTTAAAAATTTGCTAAGAGGACAAATCTTAAAAGCATTTAAGTGTTTTTATCATCACACAAATAATGATAGAGGGGGCAGGAAGAAACTTTTGGAGGTGATGGATATGCTAATGGCACAGATTGTGGTGATGGTTTCACAGTGTATGCTTATCTCCAAAGTCATCAAGTTGAAAATATTAATTATTTACAGCTTTTTGTATGTCAATTATACCACAATTAAATGTTTTTTTTTTAAGCTACGGGGTTTAAAAAAACAAATGTTACACCTTGCTCTTACTTGAATAAGTGGTAAAGAGAAATTATTATTGGCAAACCTGTCATTTTTTTCAGCATGCCATTTACAATCTTTAGTACTTGAGCTATTATTAGTAATTCACCTCACAACAGATTCCAACACAAC